CCACAGCTCCATGGAGGTGGGGGCAAGCCCCGTGGAGGGGAGACAGCACTGTGGAAGACGGGACAGCCCCATGGAGAGGGGGGACAGCCCTGGGGAGGGGAGAGATAGCCCCATGCAAGCACATGAGCATCACTGAGCACCCTGCGTACACCGTCATGAACTGCCTCTGTGGGGACGGCTTTGGGACCTGGCTTTCTCCACTCACGTGTTCTTCACTTTTTATTCAACTCGCTTTGTTACTGGACACCATGCAGACCATTAGCTACTGCTTTTCATATACAGCAGGTAGAATGAAAGGAAAGTCTGTAAGAACGCTGTGATTCTGCAGCCCCTCCTCAGAGCTGAGCGGCAGCAGGCAGGGACAGAGGGGCTGGCGGCCCCCCCCAGGGCTCACTGGGAGGTGAAGAGCGGGGCAGAGTGAGGACTGCCAAGTCGCGGACTTCAGGCTCGCCTCGGGTGGGAGCAGCTTCCTAATCAGCTCACTTGCTTTTCATACCATTATGAAAACTGACTTACTTCGAGAAACAAAAGTTGACTTCCACGTTATATTCACAAAATTAAAAATTAAAAATCCTATGTAACAGATCAGGTATTTTGCCTCTGAGCGATCACCTCTGTGTGTGTGTGTGTGTGTGTTTAGAAATACATACATAATAGTTTTATCTTTCTTTTATTTTACATTTACCCACAAAAATATACATAATGGTTTCACACATGTACTTTAGTTGTTTCCAGGCTGCTAGACTGAATACAGATGCTAATTATCTTCCCATTCCCATGTGGTTCTTCCAGGACCAAATGCCCACGCTCTCCTTAACATCTGTTTCCGGGGAAGCTCGGAGCCTAAGCGGGTCTCACCTGTCCTGAGGAGCCACAGGAGACAGAGGCTTAGCCGTGGTTCCCTTCCCTCCTCCCAGCAGTCCTTCAGCCTGAACTATTTCTTCACCTAACTGCGTGGCTCCTTAAACATGCAGGACGGTCTCTTTTGAACACAGTCCAAGACGTATGTCAAATGATGGTGAGCCGCCTTCCTTCCCAGCACCAGTAATGCTACATTGCCCAGAGCAAATGAGGTGGTGGCCTTTGTGGTACTCAAAAAAAGAAGGTGAAAAGCTACCTGTGATTCATGAAGCACAAACACCAACATTTTTTAGCCCAAACAACACTTCTACTCTGCGGTAGGGCTAGTGTGATGAATGGGTCAGGTACAGGGTGGCGCCACAAGAAAGCCAAGAACACTTTTGTTCATTTCAGAATTCAGTGAACCATGAGTTCACACATCACTGAAACCGGCTGCCCTCTGGCGACTCAAAGCCTCTCCAGACCATCATGGGACCCCAGGGTCAAGCTCCGAAAGACGCCGCAGGAAGTGAACAGCAGCTCCCATTCCACCTTCTCTCTCACCGGGACAAAGTCACACTTCCAAAGGGCACATGCCATTTCACATAAACGTCAGCACTTGTACGGGACTGAACCTGTACTACACTGAACACCATTCTACATGTAGAATCTGTTTACTTACATGAAATTTATCTCCTAATGACCATATCCATTCCAGAGACTTCTAAAATAGCTTTAGGGTCATGCCAGCGGCTCACTGCCTTTTTCTGTTGGCCTAGGATGTATCAAAGGCCTGATCTCCATGCTGCATTTCTGCTAATCCTGATGGGATATCAAGACATTCTCCTTAGGACAAAAGTGGTGGCTTTGATGCACTCACCACAGTCTTTAGAACAAAAATGGAAAGGATGGTAAAGAAAATTAATTTGGCTACATAGAACATAGGCTAGATCCTTCTTAGAAATACACATTTGAAATGGATAAATAACTAAATAGAAACAATATAGAAAAGAAGAAGAAAACAGGTGAATATTTTTCTGATTTTTAAATATACAAGCATGAGAGCAATGGAAAAATTATAAAAGAAAAACTGACAGATTTACTCTTTCAGACAACACAGAAGAGGGAAGGCTCCAAGATTTCTTTACAAAGTCATAATGTCACCCTTGTTTCACTTGAAACTATTCCCCGACCTGGAGAACTTATTAGGTAGGAAGCAACTGTAGTATATATATACCTTCATGCAAGGGTGGGGCCGGCTGCAATGTGGGGTGACTTGAAAAATGCCTGTCAGCATGAATCAAACCAAACATCACTAACCACTTTTACTTTCTAGCCAAAAGTAAATCAGCTAAATTTAAACAAGCCACTATAGTACCTAAAATGAAACAGAGCTGTTTTCTTCTGTAAGAGACTAGTCACTTTTTGCCTGTTTTCTTTGCAGCGTCACGTCAACTCCAGCCAATAGCTGTACACGGCTATTCCTGAGTGAGTGGCGATTGCTGCTCCCTCAAAGTCTTTCCTTTGATTTCTACAAGATGCAGAAGGGTTGAGCTCCGTGAATGTTCCCACAGTCATCGTAAAACACCAATACCAAAAATGCTCACATTTCATTAAACGTGACAACTCCTTCCTGCCCCAGAGCTCAGTGAGACACTCCAACAGCTTAAGAGGAAACATGCCCCTCCTTGCAGTTGCCTAGGCCGAGATCACTGATAGGGCTCTTGGCTTCGTGGAAATTTATGTCATTCCAGAGACGCCAACGTTACTTCCATCAGCGTAAGAGATGCGGCTGATTAATTCCAGGCCTGCTGCAGATTCTTTTACACCAAACCCTAAGCATTCGATAGAGCCAGACAAACCAGATGACATGTGAAGAGCCTGTCGGAGCCACTAAATGTTATTTGTTTGTTTGTTTAATCTATGCCAATTTCTCTGATATTTCCTTTTTTAAAATAGGAAATAGACTTTCTTCTCTAGGCCAACACGGAGTGAGACGGATTCCTCAAGCACACCCACCGCCCCTCACCCTGACTCCTCAGGCCTCTAACGTTTTCTCTAGTGATGCATTTACAGGAATATGCCACTGCTCTCCGGGGTTACTAGGGCGCCACCACTCCCTGCCGGTGCTTCCTCACTCCCGTGGCGATCACATGATGCTTCTGTCCACCCCACTGAAACCACATTCTCTAAGTCTAAAGGGCACTTAAGACCTGGTGGCTAAATACAAGAGTTCCTCCAATTAAAAAGAAACAGAATCCCCACTCAAACCACCCTCTCCACCAGCTGCCCAGTCCTTCTTTCCTCCTCTTCAGAGCTTAACTTCTAAAAATAGTTGTTACTGCCATTCCCTCACCTCCCACTCAGGCCGTGCCCCGACCCTCTTCAACCTGATCTCAGGGTCATCGTTCCAGCGACAGGTTTCAATGGTGCTCAGTGATAAACAGTGCTCAGTCCCTATCGGGTTTCACCTCCCAAACTGGGAGCAGAAAGGATCTGCCTTCTAAACAGAACAGCAAACAAAGGGGTGATACCCCACTCCACCCTGGAATTACTGAGAGATGGAGTGACTGCTCCCAGCCACCACTTCCCCCTACAACCCACCCCACAACTCCCAAACTGGGAAGAGGAAACAGGAAGGGACTCCTTGGAGTCTTTAGGTTCTTGGCTTAGTGGGGAGTGATGCCATGTAAGGTGTAAAGAGGTCTGCCTACACGAAGGGGATTCACACTCCAGGGATGAGGCCCTGGATTAAGGGCAAGGTGCGCATGGCCTTCCTTAGAACACTACCATATGCAATCTGGCACAGAAGAAATGCTGTGGGTTTAGGGTAAAGGTAATGCCAACCACATATATTCTCTCGGAGAGCATCGTACCCACAGGGAGATGGCCAGGCATGGTGGAGTACCGAGCCACTGTAACACCTATCCAGAAATCACATCATTTACAGATTGTTTATTAGCCGACTCTTAGAATTAATTAGCATGTAGAGTCTCCTATTTGCAGGAAGAAAATCACTCTATGATTTCTGGTTTCCTTGTAATCTGTAGTTTACAATCCTTCGGCAACCGTTACTGCTTTCCATATATATTTTTGACAGACATTTTTAATGATCATTTTCTATCATTACTAGAATAATACAAGCTCAATACAAAAAAAAATCCAGAAAATACAGCAAAGTTGATAGCAGAAAAAATACCATGCATTTTCTTACAAACACTATTAATATTCTGGTATATTTCCACTTAACCTTTGTTAATTTGATAGCTATTTGGAATTAATATTCCCTGTAAGCCAACTCTGGTAAAAATCACCAATAAACTAGGATATAAATTGCCATCTACAATCTCTTTCAATTATGAGCAAAGGTGTATCTTCCTAACTATAGAACAGCCAGCAGATTCAACTCAAAAAGCTTAAATTCAATGGAGGAAAAAAATGAATGAGTGGGCTGTTTAATGCCCAAGTGCAGGCTGGCCCTCTGCACTTTCCTATTTGTCTCTCTAGCAGCCTACTGTTGGAATTGAACTTGTCCAAGCTCTTGGGTAACCATCACTTCAGATATAAATCCCTTTAAACATAAATTCCTTTGATTGTATAAAAGTATACTCTCAAGTGTGTTTCTTGGAGGCACAAAAAAACAGTGCTAGACATTTTTTTTTTTTTTTTTTTGGCAAGTATACAATTGCCATTATTCATCAAGACATTTAACAAGGATTTTATTTTCATCTCGGGTTTCCATAATAGACATGCTATTCAATGATATCTAAAATAAGAATCATGGGCTTACCTGATTAAGAAATCATGCAGTCCAACGTCAAAATACCTGTTCAAAGGAGACATAGGCAAATATATCAATAAAAGAAATTTACAGAGATGGTAGGCTTAACAAAAAATAGGTAAATTACATGCTTTTGTAGATTACTTCAAATGGCTACTCTAGGACAGTGGTTCTCAAAGTATGACCGACCCTGGGGAAGCCACAGCCACATTTCCTGCAAACTTGCTGTCAATACAAATTCTCAGGCCCCACATCAGACACACTGATTCAGAAATTGAGGGGCTGGGGCCCAGCAGTTAGATTTCACAAGCCCTCCAGCCCTCACAAGTGATTCTGATGCAAAAACATTGCTCTGTGATAGCAAAAGTGTCTCAACAAGCCTAAGCTCTCACTCTCTTGAAAATAAAGGCCATAAGGGTGGACTTCACCACTTTCCCCATAGGTGAGTCTTTTCATAACACTACTTGTCTCAGATGTTTATTTACTCAAAAACACATGAAACACATTTAGAAGCACAGCACCACAGTATCCAAAAGAAAGAAGAGGGATGGGGAAGGATCGGCTCTGTCCTTCCACACTCCTCCCAGCCCCCATCCCTGGAGAAAGCCACCGTGTGCACACTGGGGTCTGCTTTAGTGAGAGCAGCTCCATGCATTGTCGCTGAGCCCGCCATTGTGCGTGGGCCTCACACCAGCCGTCCAATAAGCCCTGAGCAGTGGTGGGCCCTCTCAGACAGAGCCTCCCCCCAGAAACCACCAAACTGGCGAGGTCCACATGAATGGCACTGTCCTGGTTTCCCTAATCAGCATGCCTGTTCCCCCTATACTTCTGACTACTTAGCCAGCGTCCTTATCTCTTGGATTTGACTGTGAGTAAAGGATCTGGGTGTCCAGGATCATGACACTGCTGTCCCCAGGCATAACCACTGCTGCTAACACTCAGGGTGGAGGTTGTGTCCCGCCTGCCAGGCTGACCTCCCAGCGGAGCCATCTGCCTGAGTAAAGCCTGGGTAACTCTGCCCATAATGAGCAATGGACACTAGAGTACAGTCTCACTGGCCAGACCATGACTGTCTGTAGCTTCCAGCTCCACCCGTGTCCCTGTCCCTGAACATCCCAGCACGCCTGGCACCTGACCCCATGTGACATACAGCAGGCGATTACTGACATTAAAATAGAATTCCTTGTCAGGTACCTGTAAGTGCCAACATTCTTAGATGTATGCAAGCATCTGCTTTTTCTCTGAGAATATAGAAACAAAGCCAAAAGATGGCCACCTTGTTTACTAGATCACTTACTGAAATAATTCAGGGAATATTGATTCAAGATACATGAATTCCATTTATTCATAAGTCTTCTGCTCTGAATTCTAAAGGGAGATATACCTACAGGGACAACTGATTTGCTTCAGCTGATCTTACTTTGCTCCGGATGAAATGCTAACTTCTTCCTATAATCATATTTAACACATGTTTTTTTTTAGAAAATGATCCCTCCTCTCAACCGAAACAAAGGGTATGCTGCTCAGCCATGTAAGTAAATATGCCTATGACACACAGCAACTGTAAGTCGGCCAGATCTGCACTATGGGAGGTAGAAGCATGTATAGAGTAAAACAAAAGATGTCAGCTTCCTTCACTCCAAACCTACACAGCCTTGGCAGTTACATCAGCTACAGAAAGCATCAGACACTGTTGAAGGCACTGCAGGGTGAAGTGGACACAAAAGGGATCACAGAGATCCTCAGTACAGTGGGGGGTATGGGGAAGAAGACCTTGAAGGTGCAATAAAAAAAACCTAGTAACATTCATAGCAATAATTATTTACTTAGTATCCAGAAGGTGGCACTACTGTGTTCGGTGAGCACATATCCACAGTTGCCAGCGAGACAGGTGTTGGCATCCCCATCTACTAGTATAGGAACCAAAGCTCAGGGGCTAAATAATTTGCACAGAGACCACAGCTAGTAAAGGACAAAGCTGGGAATCAAACTGAGCCCTGAAAGTCATGAATTACCTGCTCTTCTCGCCGAAAGGGTGGGTTCTCACCACTCCTCATTATTACTAATTCAAAAGGGCCGCTCATTTTAAAAACCGACCCCTTAAAAAAAAACAACAAATGAACAAAACAGCAATAGACTCGTAGACACAGAGAAGAGATGGGTGGTTACCATGGGGAGGGGCTGGGGTAGATGGGTGGAAAAGGTGAAGGGGATAAAGAGGCACAGAATCTCAATTTTAATATAGTGATAGGGATGAATTTATAGCATAGAGAATAGAGTCAATAACGCTGTAATATTTTTCTGTGTTGACAGAGTAACTATACTCATTGGGGTGAGCATTTAATAATGTAGATAACTGTTGAATTACTATGTTGTACACTTGATGTTTATCAACTATACTTCAATAAATAAAATTTAAAAATAGAAGTCGGGCTTCTCTTCTGAAGTAAGATACCTATCAAATTATAGTACCATCATTCTTATTATTTTTTAAGAAAATAATCTCTCATGGCTGCCAGCCTACAAAGTAAGCCAGGATTTCCTAATGAGGAGACATGAAACAGTGATTCTGTGCATATCATTCTTGGTTCCTTCCAGAAATTAAAAATAGGAAGTCTCTTATGTGTGTGTGTGTGGCATGAAAGTTTCTATTGTCTAACGTCAATTGATAGCAGGAACTGGAGGTGGCTTTCAGCTTAATATGTAAAAAAGGAAACTTTGGAACAAGTTGCAGTGTCCTAAGTACTCCCGTGTCCAATGTATTCCTATCCCGAGATGAGTTCAACTCTGGCCTAAGGGTGTAAGGAGGAGATTGAATCATCAGAGAGATAACCGGAATGGACGACCTTAAAGGTGCCGCCCAGCCCCAGGCCTCTGAGGCCCTGTTTTAGTCGCTTTAAAGAAGCATTGCTAAGTATGAATGCTCACTACCAAAGCAGCAGCTCTTGTCTGATAAGCATCAGCAAATGAGTAGACCGTGCCTGGGCTGATGCTTCTGCGGCAGCCCTGCTGGTTTATTATGATTCTGACTGTCACTCTGGTTAGAGCCTCAGAGGGCATTAAAATTAGGCTCCGTGCCCCTGCCGACATGGCTCTGCACATAGGCTTACTCTCGGAGCCCACAAACCTACAGATCCTTGAGCTCACCCCGCCTTTGAAAGAGGAAGGGTCAGGCCCACACAGCATGTCCCCGGCAGAACTCAGACCAGAATGCACAGGACTGTTCAGCTCTGCCAGGCTGCCTGCCTTTAGGGGTCCTGGTCCTTCCTTCCAGGCTGATCATGACTGCCTGGGAGCCTAGGGATAAAAAAGCAGTGATCTGTAGCCAGGATTTGCAAAAGCCACCAACCAGGGAGGTATGTTTCAGAGCCACGGCCCAGGGCCGCTTAGCATGGCACCTGCAGGGTGGCTCTGATCTGAAGGACCATGTGCAGATCTCAGGTGTTGGTGCTACTTCTTCAGCTCACAATCTTCACAGTTTTTCATCCCCAGACTTTCTTATCCCCTTGGTGGGCTCCAAAGTTCAGCTCTAGCATTTAGAGAACTGGAGGTAAAAAGCAAATCAAATCACTCTGAGAATGAATCACCCAGACTCAAAGGGCCCTGATGACTGGACTACCTGACCTACATTCAGAAAATGGAAAACACCTTCAAGTTCATCCTCTCTAAGCCCCATCACTTGACGGATTAGGAAACAGAGGACAAGGAAGATGAAATAATCTGGAATACAACTACACAACCCAAGGCAGAGCTGGGGCTGGCAGACCAGGCACCCCCCCCAACCCCCCGGTTCTTTCTTCACAGTGTCGCAATGTTGCCCTCCTCTCATCTCAATGTGCAACTTTATTCTCTGAGAACGCCCAAGACACAGTGCTCAGAACAGGCTCCAGATGACATCACAGAAAAGCTGCCACCGTGTCATACCATCTCCACCTCCATCCGTAAAAGCCATGTGCACACAGAGCCTGCAGGAGGCCATTCCCTCACTTCTGATGTTCCTTCCACAGGCTGGCCCTGTCTGGATCTCACCCTATCAGGTTGAGAGGCAGAGCCTGCTGAATGGAAAATAAGAAGTGAAGCGGAAAAACAGGGAAAAGTGAAAATGAGCTTAGGCCAGCGAGAACCCCGTTGCGGCAAACCACATTTAGTGAAATCCCCGTCTGATGGGAAAGCAGAATATGAGAACTGTAGCTCTCGGAGGAGGACAGATTCTAAAACACAAAACTTGCACTGGGTTTTCACATGACATGCTTTTCACTGCATCAGACAAGTGTGCCTGCCATCAGACTGTTAGCAAATTTCAGGAAAACAGCCCAAAAGCCTGGCGATCTGGACATCTCACAGTGTTGGGGCAAGGCATGAGAGAAGGCACCAGTGCCAGGCATAAATGGCGCAGGAGTGAAGAGCTTTCCAGAAGTATAGTAGAAACCACATCTCCCTACATGTGGAATTAGAGATTCAAGGTCTGACCTCAGGCTCTCCCACTGAATAGTATTTGACCATAAAGAGCAAACATTATCTCTCCGTGTCTCAGTGTTCTTAACTGTGGCACAGAGATAGTGACAGCCACTGTGCAAAAAGGAACAAATATAGTGGGCACAAATGTAGCGGCAACTTCATAAACATTCTACAAAATATTCAAGGTTATTTTCTCTCCACCTTAGACTTGATTAAGTTCCTGAAGGCTCTTCTCCAGACTGCATTAATGTATTCATTTATTCAGCAAATATTTATTGGGCACCTTCTAGATAGATGTTGGACTCTGTAAGACATGTTTAGGATACAACAGTGCACAAGAAAGCTAGGTTCCTACCCTAGTGTACAGTCTAGAAATAAGTTCTTTATCCAATACGTGATTTGCAAATAACATGCTTTCAGCCTCTAGCGTGCCTTTTTGTTTTCTTAAAAGTGTCTTGAAGCACAAAAGTTTTTAATTTTTCAAAATCTAGCTTATCAATTCTTTCTATTATGGATCATGCTTTTGGTGTTGTATCTAAGACATCTTTGCCTAACCTATGGTTTTGAAGGTTTTCTATGTTTTTTTT